CTTCATTTATAGATAAAAAGGCCACCTTTTCTTTCGGGCAATGTTTCGCGAAGTGCTCTGTTTCGTGGCAATTGAAACAAGCCGCCGGTTTTTTTGCCTCAAATTTCCTTTTGCTTGCCTCTGCCGACGCCTCATGGTTAGATGCCTTGTTTTCCTCACTCTTTTGTGCGAGACTTGTCGGTTGTTTTCTAAACGGCGCCTTATTCGGTAGTAGGAATTTTTCCCTTTTAGGCTCGCTGTTTGCCCCGAGGGCGCGGCGCGTAACGAATTCTTCAGCGAGCTCTGCGGCTTTCGTTACGGTGTTCACGTCCGGTCTATCCTGCACCCAGAACCTCACCTTTTCTGGTAACCTTTGATAGAATTGTTCCAGACCGATACACTCGAGCACCTTGTCATGATTCCCATACGCCTTTGCCTCTTTGAGCCACTTCCCCATGTTGGCCATTAACTTGTAAGCAAACTCCGGGTATGAATCATTGTTCTCTTTTACGGCGTTGCGAAATTTTTGTCTGAAACCTTCCGCTGACAACCTGTATTTCTTGAGAAGGCTCGACTTTACCTCACTGTACTCGTCAGCCTCCTCTTTCGTGAGGCGCGCGATTACTTCTGAGGCCTCCCCCGGAAGTAGGGACAACAAGCGTTGAGACCATGTATCCTGGCTGAAACCTTGCCTTTCACAAGTTCTCTCAAAGTTGACGAGGAACAGCCCAATGTCCTCCCCTAGCTTGTACGATCTCATTAGGTCCGTCATTTTGAACCTGACCCGCTCTGCGGTACCGGATGCCTCGCTGCCTCCTGCTCTACTATTATGGCTAATCTCTAGCTCGAGGCGCTTCATTTCAAGCTCGTGCTTTCGCATCTTATCTGCCTCGGCTTCTGCGGCCTCGGCCGCGGCCGCCTTTCTTTCGGCCTCTGCCGCTTGCCTCTCCTGAATCTCCTCGACACATTCTGACAGCTCGTCATCCTCCGCCCCCAATGCGAGAATAGCCTCTATCAGCTCTGGCTTTCTTTGAGAGTCCGACACCTCCAGATTCAACTCCCTTGCAAGTAGCAACAACATGGACTTTCGCAGGGATTTCAGATTCATGGCTGCCTCCAGTACCACTGTCTCTGTTCCACAAAGATTCCTGTCCTGCAACTAATTAACCTTGACGGCAACGACAGCTCTAGGTTCCTGCCTTGCCTCAAGTTTTCCGTTAACTTAGTCTACAAATAAAGCTTCAAGAAGCTCTTATACGGAATCCTGCCCTGCCACTGTTAACCTTGACGCCACTGACAGAAAGAGCTTAACCAAGCTATCACGCAATTTCTGCCTGACGCAAGTTACCTGTTAACCCAATGACCAAAACAGCCCCTCTCTACCAGCTTTTACTTAACACATAGAGTAAATGCCTGGTAAAATTTAACAGAGAAAGCCGGCACTCACCCAGTTCGCAGTCATGTCTCCGGCGTCGTGCCTCTCAGAAGTGCCGTTCGATTCCCTCTAGAAGTCGATGAGCTCGTGTCATTCTTCTCCTGTCGACCCGTTGTTGGACTTCGGGCTCATTCCGTCCAGTGGTCGCTTTCGGGGTTATCGGCATCCCGCCGCTGCCACCAGTTGTTGGGACTCCGGGTCCTGCCGGTCTCGTTTTCGGTAGCTGGCCCCGTCGCAGGATCCATCGTCCAACAATTCAGCGAGAAGACACGCCCGAACGAACGACAGAGATTTATTTACATGTGGAGAAGTGATCAACTGATCCAAAGAGAGAAGAGTGAGCGTGATACAAAACGTCTTCGGCATTTTATAGCGCCACGTTGTTGACACTGGGCGCCTTGTCCGCATCGTCAGCCAATACGGTGTCCCCGGCACCTCGGCTACGAGGGAGGGGGAAACACCTCTCACAACACATGTAGTGGCACAACCTAACACGATGTCCATATATGGTCACGGCGCCCTAAAATGTTGCCAAACATGGTCACGAACGCACAGCAGATTCCGGAGTTCTCCCGGCGAGAGGAGGAACCTGAATGGGGAGGGGGGGGTGGACGACACCGTCGGTCAAGAACCGGTTCTCCCCCAAACTCTTCTTGCTTGGTTCCCTAGGGCCGGTCGTAACACTATATACTTACGCCATTTCCTTCTAATGGCATCAAAACGTCCTGTGTGTCAGGCATTACTCAGTTCTTTTGTATAAGGAAGTAACTGCGCTTAAACTTCATCGTAAATTCGATAAATTTGGCACATATCGACCCAGAAGTTGCACGAGAACTCTTCTACATTTAACTTGCAATTAAAATAGGAAAATAGTGGTTTGTTCAGAGATAAGGCTTCCTCTCATGGTTGAGTACTTGAAAGGGGTTATCGGAACTTTATAGCAAGCAAACAAGATTAATTATGTTCATTTCCATAACCTAAAAAAAAAAACTCGAGGGTTTGGTCATATTCGACGCATCGTCAGACAATTACACCCGTGCTGGCACCAAAAGAGAGAATTACCTTGGTCATCTATACATGTTCACCATATATGATGGAAGCATTGTCTGGCCATTGGCTCTACAGTGAAAACTAATTTCACTTTTTCGTCGATGTGTGACCAGGATAGATGACGAATGACTTAAGCGGTAACGACTACACAACAGAATACAGTTTGCTGATTCTTCAGTGGATTCCTGCCGGTATAACACCCCCACAGAAAAAAGACGCTTTATTCTTCATCAATTAATAAATAGGATGGATGATGAGGCTTTGTATAGTTGCTGAATCAGCCCTGCCAAAATAAATTGCGTCGTCGTCAACGGCTACACACGGGAAGAGTGAGAAAGAGAGAGGGGGGCAATATTTTTCTATATTATTCATTCAGATGTAGTTCCTGACTATTACTGAAGTGACGTTTGATTGAGATCCAGGGGATTTCAGGAAGTCGTCGAGATGTTGGAAAACGAGCACACGTTTCCGTTAAGCAGCAAAGCAAAAAGCAAATAACCGCTGCAGCAGTTGCACAGATCTACGTCCAGCAGCAAAGTGATGGGCGACGTTTTAGTACCAACTTCACTAGTTCTAAAGCTTCATCTTGGAGCTTTGCGGAAAAAAGGGACCCTATTTATAGCCTGTATGAATAGCTATTTTTGAGACCATGACCAATGCGAATCAAATGGTATTAGCCGTGAACTTAATCGAATATCAAGTACTTTTTGGATAAGGAGACGACCATTTTGAAGCAGCAGTGCACAGAAAGACACAAAACACGCCCACATAAGCGCGGAGAACAGCACTTGTGTTTTTGCGCCTTTTAAGTGTGTGTGTGTGTGTTTATAGTGCGCTTTTCTCAGCTGCGTCTTCAAAAATCATGACTCGTCAACTTGCCCATTAGTACATATTGAGCAACGAGATCTAGTGGCCTAATCTGCGTGGTCGTTGCCATATATACCGCAATATGACCCGATATCCCCTGATGCGCTATGTTGTGTTGTCTTTCGGTTGCTTGGTGGTGAAGGAACCTTATATCGGTACGCAATACACAGTCACCCCGTTTTCAAGAACCGACGCAGCTGCAAGACTTCGTTCGCTTGCACGTGATGTCCCACTGGTACAGTGGAGCTCGGTGGAGTTCACAAACGCTCGCCTACATAAATTGGATCCGGATCTCAAGCTTCGTTTTCCCTCACGAATATCTCGAGCTGTGGAGACTCTTCTGTGCCGCCTGTGTCATCGCGTGGCCTTCACTAACGCTTACTAAATTTCTTATTGGAATCGGGCAGCACCTCTGCACGCAATTACTGCAGATGCGAAGAAACAATCACCCATATGAGCCAGTTTACCCAATTTAACGCGCGAAGGCGAGAACTTACCGAAGCTCTAGATAGACTAGATGATCTCCCTTTGTCGGAACGAAAGATTCTGAGTCATTGGCCGAGTCCATATTCAGCCCAAAAGGCTTTAAAAGCTTTATTATGTTTTTTTTTTGCGAGCAACGGGTTTTAGAGACCGTTTTTAGTGTCGCATTCACTTTAATTTCGTTTTTCTTCTTTCCCTATATTTCGCACTTTCACTCTCTCTTTCTCTTTGTGGCGTCTCGTTTCCATCATCTTTTATTCCTCTTACCTACTCCCCCAGCGCAGGGTAGCGAGCCGGTCTGAGAACTGGCTAACCTCCCCGTCCTTCCACTTGACTTTTTCCTCCTCCTTATGCAACGAGAAGTTGTTTTCACTATTCTTATAACAGAACTTCGACAACTGACCCAAAACACAGCAAGCTTCTTTATGAAATGGGCATTATGTCATAATGAAATTTTGTTTAGTAAGCATAATAAGCACATATAGTGAACCATAAGAACAAATATGTAGGTTGGTGGCATCTTTCTGGTGGTGGATCTTCCTATGAGCACGGATGACTGTGGTCTAATAACAAAAAGTGTAATTCCTTGAGCGACGTATAGAATTCACCGTTACGCCATTTTTCGCCTTTCAATGTGTTGTAAAGGTATACCCGGCCGTTGGTATGAAATTTGCAGCACCTTTGTTGCTAACAACTGATGTCCGATGTCGAACAGAAGATAATTTCATTTATTCGAAATCTATTGATATTCATGAATAATGTCTAGTTGATTCGAAGACCGAATAGAATTGGACAATTTCTCAATCGTTTATGTTCGAAAGTTCAGGTTATTTGGGGACAACTACAACGCATGTTCCATAAGCGTTTTAGCGGACAGGTGCTGGGGCCCGTGCACTGCCGCATGGCAGACAATGCAGGTAGGTCACGACTGACACGTCACTTGGACGCCAATTCTATGGTCGGTGTTATGTGCTGGACTGGACAAGCGAACCTATTAGGACCAACACGACGTATGGGAAAGGCTATGCGTGCCCTCGATATTGGGAGTGCGCCTGTAATCTAAGGACTGTTTCAAGTGTCTCATTTTTGTTTATCGCATGTTGTTGTGGTGGCCACTAATCACCTATTTCGCCAAAAGTCCCTTAATACTTTCTCTGGGTATGTTTGTTGCTTTTTCCTTCGGTAGAGTACGTGGATCTGTACGTGGATTTGGTGCTGAACAAGGCGATCGCTCAGCCATTTAAAGCCTTCTACCTTGGATTTCACAGCGTTTGCGCTTCCAACGCGCTCATCGTACGTAACTTTTCAAACCAAAGCAGTGTAACAGCGTTTTAATATAATACCTCACGCATAAACCCACCACCTTCTTCCTTTTTCATTTGTTTGTTTTTTTCACTTGTGAACGGCAGATGCTCCGTCCCGAGGAAGTCGAAATGCTCGTCTGTGGCTGCCCGAAATTAGACCTTGATGAACTACGAAAAGTCACTGTGTATGACAGCTTTGAGGAAGATGAGCCACTTATCAGGTAACTGCACTCATACCACTTCAGCGGAATGACATGAATAAACTCGGGTATAGCTTTTATTTTCACATTTGAAACCTCGGAGGGTAGCATACTAGCTTCCAGGTTTGGCGTTATACTGCTGTACCATTGCTGTTTGTAGCTAGTGGTTAAAGAGCTCGTTGTGATGACCAAATTACTTGATTTACTTTATTTTCATACGCTTAGCTTATTCGTACGCGTCACATGATGTGGGTTCGTTCTTTACTGGTCTACATGAGCGGATGTGTGTTTTTCTTACATATATACAGCATGATGAACGATAGATTTTTTGCTATTTATAGAAGTAGCACTGCGTGCCACAGGGCAAGCTTTTTGAATTACAAAAATGAAAACACTGCATCGGGCGTAAGCTGCTACAGTTGCACGCAGTGAGTCCTCTGCACCCTATTCTCATCTTACTCTTGCTCATCAGATGAGAGAGGCATCTTACATCAGCTGTCCCTGACAAACTCTCATTCGGGTGCCAAGGGTCAACTTAATGTGGGTTGGCTTACTTGCACAGATTGTTCTGCGTGCAGGTACTTGCGATATCAAGTATGACGCTCCGTAATGTTCTATACGAGCGAGTCAAAAATGACGGATGTCACAGTAAACAAGTGCAGTTTCACTAATATGCATGTCGATTCGCTTATGAGCTTGCCTAGACCTGCAGTGCCAGAGTTACTTCGGTGCCTGTAATGTCGCCCTTCCGAGGCCCCAAGAGCGTGAATACGGGGAGCTTGTCTTCTCATATTTATAAAATTAGCATTGCCTGAAGCGTTGATAATACCAAGTATTCAAGGAGGGCGCGCGTGTTATTGTGCGGTACGTAGTTCCTTCACCAGGTTACTGGCGCCAGACAATGCGTTTGCATCACTTATAGATATACGCTGGGACGGCTGGTCGAGTGATGGGTAGCTTGGGAGTTTGAGGACACTGTCAGGCGTTGTCACAGTGACAGAGGAAACAGTAGTACAAGCTTAAAGAAAGTAGGGTAATTATGTATATAGCAAATGCGCACTCGGAAGAACAAATCTATCATTTGAATAATTACGTTAGCATTCTTCTAGACACGGCATTAAAAAAATGTTCAACACATAAACCTTCCCGTTCATAAATTCAGCCAGTCCATGTTAAAGTTATAAAGTACCTCGTCTTGAAGTGTTTTGGTTTTTTTTTTCGCCTCATAATTTGCTGCAACTTCACATTGACATCTTGGTGCCGTGATCTCTTCAGGGACTTCTGGGACATACTGAAATCGTTCAACCCTGACGTACAAAAGCAATTCCTTCGCTTTGCGACTGGCAGCGACCGAGTACCCGTGGGTGGCATGGGGGAGATGGCGTTCAAAATTTCGGCTCAAAACACCAACACGGAAATGTAAGTATTGCGGGCGCTTTTATATGTACTGCTTCCTCATTATTTATTCGTCAGCTATACCCTTCAACAATATTATCTTAATCATCATCATATATTTGCCCATCCGTCCTTGTTGTTGCCCTGTGTGCTCATCCTCACCGCGTCCGCTGAGCTTTTTCGCTCCCGAGTTCTCGGCCAAATGAACCAAGACGTCAGAATATCTGAATTCAGAGCCTATGTGAATGGGCCTTCTGGGATGCTAGCGTGCAGTGATGCCCTATGCCCTATGCTATTCTGTTCTTATCATCAACCACTCACAGTTGCCTGATCACGTTGATAACATGGACGGAGCGTCGCCGCTCTGGCCACTGGCGAAGCGCGGAAAGCGTGAAAAGCTTAGGCATTGGAAAAGGCATTGTTCCGCGATTGCGCTCCTGAAGAGCTATTCAAAATATACCGCCTGTCTGCAGAAACAGAACATGGTCGTCAGTTTAGTACAACTGCCGACAGATGACGCGACCTTACCAAAGCGGGCGCAAGTGCTTTTGCGCAGTCACGGCAGATGGGGCGAGTGCGCGTCTCCAGAACAGCCGCGGTGCAGGCTACGTATGTTTTCAAGCACCTGTCCACCTGTGACCAGAAGTCAGTGCACTAAACAGGAAGCTCATGTGAAAAAAAAAATTAAAACACAAATATACATTCTTGCTAAGAAACAAATTTGCTAAACAGCGCTCCAGACAATATTAAGCTGTCTAAAGCAGTAATTACGTACATGATTTCAAAGCCTCACGCGTCGCAGTGCGCTGAAACCACTGAAACCGCGAACACAACGTTTCTAAAGTCGTTAGTACTGAAAAAACACGAAATGATGATTTTCGATAAAAGATTATTTATTTTTTGTTAATTTCGCAGTTATCGCGTCAGAAAATAAAAGTTGCAGTGTTGTTTTTTTTTCGCGCTATAACCATCTTGTACTTCAGAGTGATGACATTTACTTCAAAATTGTTTTATTCATATATTTTTCCCCTCATGTTCTAACGGTGGTGGCTGAACGTTTAACTTAATTGCAAAGTATTGATTGTTGCAAACAGTAAATGAAGCCAGATCATTCGAAAAAGCGGATAGTAGTTGCACAGAAAGATAAAAAGACAGTATTGATCAACCAATCAATCAATCAATCAATCAATCAGTATCATCAAGCATTAGATAGTTTTGGCTGAATGGCTGGACTTGCGCGGGATTCTTGCTATGCATGAAAACCTTCTTTTTCTAAACGCCGTGATGTCTGGTTTAGTTGCTTGTTGTAGTTGGCGAGAAGAAAATGTCGCTTGCACACGCACGTGCATTGCTCACTCACGAAACCTGTGATAATGCGAGCACATAGAGAAATAATGAGCAGACTTTGATAGTTTACTGACCAAATTCACTTGAATAAAAAAGCGCAGGCAAACGTATAATTTTTGCCTCTTTCTAAATTGGTTTGCTGGCTGCGTGCCACTTTCAATATAAAGAAATGAGCGTTCTTTCTCGCGCCTTTTTGCCAGCATGAACATGCCTGCCGAAACACAACGGCCACAATAATTAACTTCCCTAATTATTATGTACATGTCGGAGCTGCTCGATTGACGGCTCACTGAATAAATGCCAAAACAGCGTGCTGCTGTTCCCGTCGATTTCAGTCATGTGAGCCTAGCCGTCATGTTGCCCCAACGCGCGTGGTAGTCTAGTGGCTATGGTACTCGGCTGCTGACATGCAGGTCGCGGGATCGAATCCCGGCTGCGGCGGCTGCCTTTTCGATGTAGGTGAAAATGATGTAGGCCCGTGTGCCCTGCAGATTCATGTGCACGTTAAAAAACCCCAGGTGGTCGAAATTTCCGGAGCCCTCCACTATACGGCGTCTCTCATAATCATACGGTGGTTTTGGGATGTTAAACCCCACAATCACTAAATTATTAGCCGTCATGTTCAAACTATCGACTCTTTCGTTGTATCCGTCCTGAACCTTAAGCCTCAAAAACAGACACACACAACTGAGAGGACATTTACAGCATCGTCTGGCCTAGACTTACTGTATATGCTACCTTTCTTCTGGCGACAGCGCGAAGCGACTATACCAACAAGAGCAGCGCATGCGCACTATTTCCATGTGCTGTGCTTTTCCCACAGACACCGTACTGCCGCTGTCGCGATTTAATGTGTTTGATGTTGTGTTAGCTACCTGCATGCATATAGAAGGGCTCATAGAACGCTCTTACTGTCTATCCTGAGTCTAAAAGTCGGCGCGAGGTTGAAGAGGCACTGACACAAATTGTTGAAGCCGAGTTTACTTCACAATATAAAATCTCTGGGAGACGCAGCTGCGCGTTTCGATAGAACTGCGCCGCATAGCGGAGGCGCACATATTTAACGTAGCAGATGACACGTCCATTTGCTTGCATCACCGATTTGGTCATCCATGTCATACAGCAAGGAAAAAGGAAAGAGAGAGCATTACTTCACGTAGACAGCTTTAGCAAGCCTACCCATTTTGAAGCCAGCAGTGCCGTCCACCTCGTGACCATTTGCGGTGAGATCACGCAATAAACGAGAGCCTTCGGTATATGGTTGATGATTGATTAATATGTGGGGTTTACCGTCTTCAAACCACGATATGATTATGAGGGACGCCGTTGTGGAGGGCGTCGGAAATTTCGACGACCGCGGGTTCTTTAATGTGCACCCAAGTGGGCCCACAGCATTTCCTCCTCCATCGGGAATGCAGCCGCCACAGCCGGGATTCGATCCCGCTACCTGCGGGTCAGCAGCCGAGTAGCTTAGCCTCTAGACCACCGCGGTGGGGCGTTGGTATAGGGTGCCTGGTTTTTCTTAGTGGAAGCGAGCTCGCGGCGCACTTTGATCGGCTCGCGGAGGTGGTTCAAAAACAGAACATTAAACTAGAGTACTGAAATCTACCGCGCACTCTCACATTGTTCATCTATTCTTTCGTGATCCGTGTGATATTGTCGTCATATGACATTTATTTGTATCGCCACGTGGAGATTCTTCACAACTTGGCGAAAGTTTTAGAGATATTCAAGCCCACCAGGTGCACTCTGCAATGCTAAATTACAGGGAACACTGTCGTCTATTTGCCGGTGATTATCAGACACGCCTATAAGCATTTTTTTGCAAAAAAAAAAAATGTGATCATAGAACATTTTGGTGTCTACACCCCTTAGAAGAATCGGTCCACTTTAGCTGCTCTGGCATAACTGAGAATTTTGAGCAGTTTTACGTCGCCTCTATAGAGGCTTACCAGGAATGGTTAAAGGCCTGATATGGTACTCTGTATCAATTCGCAGGCTGCCCGTGTCACACACGTGCTTCAATCAGCTGGTGCTACCCAAGTACAAAAGCAAAGACGTCCTTCGGGAGAAGCTGACCATCGCAATCTCAAACGCCGAGGGCTTCGGCCTCGAATAGGACCAGGGCTATGTAGGCATCTCCGACCGACCAGAATGGGGCCTTACGTAGAATATTCACGAGTAAACAACAAGCAACGATTGTTCCCAAGGACAGCACATACGACGCCAGTGATTCGCACGTGCAAAGCACTTTGCGGCGCTCTCACTTCGTGATGCGCACGACACTGCATCGACCTATTTTCCCTTTCAGCCGCCCCGAGTGCAGCGAAAATTACTCATGCTTGTTTTATTTGTTAGCTTTATATCTTTTATTGCAAACGCAATACGCACTTGTAGCACAGTGGCCGCTGTTCTATGCGTGAATTCGAAGTGACACGAGAAGGCTGTTTTATATTCTGCGTGGTAGCTCTTCGAAAAGCTGAAATGTATAGTTTAAGAATTGGTTTTGGCATTTCTTTACGAGGCCTGGCGATATAAAACATAACCACATTATAGGTAGTGAATGTTGGACTTATTCATGTTATAATGAGGTGGTTGAAAATGTGAAGCATAAGATGGGCTTGCAGTAAAGGTCACGGCGGGGGACGAATTAAGGTTACATAGGACGACAAAGCAAAATAAATATGGTTTAGAGACATTGCTAAAGAAAATAAAATAAAGTGAATTAGGCAATGGAGTTAGAAAAAGTGTTCCTCAACATGTCGAGGTCAAATTACACCAAAATTATCTCAGCAAAACGGCAGAAATAAATGTTAAATACTGCTCTCTTATTAAGTTTGTAAACTGAAATAATAGTTTGCTCCATACAAAGGAACAACATTTGTAATGGCAAATAAAACATTGCATCTTTTATGTCACTAAA